TCCAACCGCCACGGTCACCGTCAGTCGTCAATCGCCATGGCGACTGCGAAACCTACAGAGCAGCTTTGCTCTGTTTTGAGTTGCGTTTCGAATTTCGTAACCCATATTCGTTTTCCTCATATATATTTAAAATAAATATATATAGTATATATTATATATTGTTTTTTCACGTTTTTCTCAGTTTTCCTAAGACGCTAACCGCCACCAAACCGCCCAAACCTTAGTTTGATTTCTTGGAGAAGCATTATGATACTTTCGAGCGGATTTTCTTGCGTTTTTGGTTTTGGAGCTGGAACTCTTCAACCTTGCTCTAAATTTTTTGATAATCGTAAAGCGAAGTATCATCTTTGCTAATCCCGCCTCAGTTTTAAAATATTTTTTTAAAGCAGATTTAAACATGTTTTGTAAGCCTAAACGACTTAGATTATGAATAAGAAGACACTTTTGCAATGATATGTGATAAAATTAGGTTCTTTCATGCTAAAAAGCGTTGAGAATGACATTTTAAGATGTAATTAAGATCTGAGAATTGATTTTAAACATGGTAATCTAAAGAAAGAGAGTTTGATTCATTTATTTTGAGCTTTTTATGCATGTTTTAGGCTTGGCATTAAATTTTGAAAAAAACGACCGATATTTCGAATTTAATGAGCAAAAACGACCGCTTTAACAGAAAAATTAGCCCAAAATCGACTTTTGTTTGCACGGGAGTACTAGTCCCGTGCAAAACAAGGGCTGCTTTTCACGACGCTCATTTCCGCCTTCCGCTCATTCCTCTGGCCGGTGACCAAAAACCAGACCCCCACCTCCTTCCCCTACCTACCTCACGCTCCCCCATACCCCTCCTCCCCATCAACAAGCCTAGGCCCCCGTCTCCAGACCCTCCCCCCTCACCCCTTCCAGGACCTCCCCTACCCCTTCCCCCATTCAACAAGCCTAGACCCCCTCCTCCAGACCTTCCCCTACCCCCCTCCCATTCAACAAGCCCAGGCCCCCCTCCTCCAGACCTCCCCCCTACCCCGCGATCCGTCCTCAAGCTCTCCCACTCCGGAACCAAGGACAAGCGGAGCCGCCCTCAAGATCTAGGCTTCGCCGCGGCTGCTCTCTCATGGCCAGCCGGTGTCTCGTGGCCTCGAGCTCGCTTGATGGGCTCCTGATTTGCTGCAAGAAGTTACAGATTTGGAGGAGGTGAGGACGAGCTCGACGTCAGAGGGGGTGAGGGGAAGGGTCTGGAGGAGGGGGCCGGAGTAGGAGAGCTTGAGGATGAGCTTGACGTTGGAGTAGGTGAGGGGGAGGATCTGTAGGAGGGGGCTTGGGCTTGTTGAGGGGGGAGGAGGGGTTGAATGTGAAGGGGAGGAGATGGGTTTTGATGGGTTTTGTTGGGATCGGAGAAGGGAAGGAAGAGAGGAAGGAGGAGGAGGCCATGGTATTCTAAGGATGGAAGAGGCCAGGGGTTTTGATGGGTGTCGGGTGAAAATTTTGAGGATTGAGGAGGCTAGGGGAGAAGATGGGCGTCGGGTGAAAAGCGACCCTTTTTTTGCACGGGACTAGTAGTCCCGTGCAAAAAAGTCGATTTTGCTAAATTTTTTGTTACGCGGTCGTTTTTGCTCATTAAATTCGAAATACGGTCGTTTTTCAAAATTTATCCTTTAGGCTTTTGAATATAAATCTAATGCATAAAATTATGGTTATATATGTTGATTTTGATTCCAGATATTTATATCTGCTGTAACATGTTAGTATGCAAGATTCATGAAGTTTTTACCATGTTTGAATCATAAAAAAACACGACGTGAACACGACACATGACAATCTGGAGAAAACTAGAAATCTAGCTCACGGTCGATCGCCACGATCGACCGCATGCAGGACAAAAACTTAGGTAGCCTTTGGAGCCCGTCGTGGTCGATCGCCACGGTCGACCGCCACGGTCGACCGCCACGGTCGACCGCCATGGTCGACCGCCAGTCTGATATTGGCCTGTGCATTGTTTTGGTTTGATTTCGGTTTCTCTTTCGCTTCTCTTGACCTTGTGATGATTAACTACAATGTTAAGACTTGTTAAACACCTGGGATGATGGTGAACTTTAGATGTGGACACGTACACCGAGATATATGCACTTATGCTTAGTTTGTGTTTAATTAACACACTTTTGTCACAAGTTAAATTTGATAAATACACATGACTAGTATTTGATCTTTCAAGTATCCGAAAATAAGGAGAATGAAACCTATTTACCACAGAACGATTGAGTATGAGTATTATAATAGTATCGTTATTACATGTATCTGGAAAAGAGAGATAATAAATCCTATTGCCACAGAGCGATTGAGCAAGAGCATTAAAAGAGTATCGCTATAGCACAAGATAATGCACACATAAATATTTAATCAGTTGTAAGTTTTACTTCCATGATAGATTACCCGTGAGTAGGGTATTTCCTTTGAGATTTTGGCACACTCGTTAAGGACGACAGCTATATTCGTTTTGGTTTGGTTGACATCCTCTTATATTAGATCATGCTACTCGGATGTAATTTGAGATAAGTTATTTATTCTTTATGTTGGAGATTTGAGTATGTTTCCTTGACAATTTGTTTTTCATTCATAAAGAGCTATATGAATGATTTGATATATATAAGTACTGACTCTATTTTCTTATATACTCCTACCCCTTCCCATGGTGAGAGGTAGTGATGATCTCGTTAGCGTTTTGATGCTCGTTGTTTCCTGTCTTTTAGGCTGCGAGTCTGGCGCACAGAGAGTCATAGGTTGATGGGACTTCTTAGTTGTCCATTTAGCTACTTATTATACTTTGTAGTTATTATAGAACTCCACATGTAGTTGATTATTTTTAGACTCTAGATTGGTATTTTAGTTTAGAGTTGAGAGCTTTTGTGAGAATTTGTTTATTTGACTCATTATATTTGAGATCCAGTTTATACTCAGAGATATTTCTATTCTATTTCAGTTGGCTCATTATTGATATTTCTTATGCTTCTTCTGTGTATATCCAGTGTTGCCTATTTCTATTTTTGCATGTCTATACCTTAATCTATTTATTGTTTCCACTAGAGAGATAGTGATTGTGATGGTGAAACATATCGTAGCATAGTGGTTGGTGCTTGGTAGGTTTGACAATTCGGGTTTCATCTTGGACTGTAGCCTTGTGTGAACCCTGGGGCGTCATAATAACTCCATGTTGTAAGTAGTGATAGTTTTTGTCTAAAGAGCTTGCAAGAAGTGTTCTTTTGTGCATGTATAAATTTTATTAGTTATATGTGTTATGATATGTCTTGTATTTAATAAATGGGTTATTCGGGTTATATGGGTCGGGTCGGGTATGATACGTGTGTATCTTCTTCTCTGCTTCAGGAGCTTAGCGATCCTCATGGGAGCTTGAGGATAGGTGATTCTTATGATATCTTGAGAATAGTGGTGTGAAGCGACATGGCGGAGCATATGATGGAGCGTGAAGCGAGTCGGAAGAACGAAGAATCAAATATTTCACTTCTCAGCTTAATGAGTCGACTGACGGGTTGATGAGTCGACTGACGGTTGATGAGTCGACTGTCAGGTTGATGAGTCGACTCAAGAAATCACCTCCAGATAGCAAACTTCTTCTGCTGAGTCGACTCATGAAATCATGAGTCGACTCATGCAGGCCAGCACAATTTGTGCACATTTTGATTTGACCATGAGTCGACAGGTGAGCATGAGTTGATCATGAGTTGACTGATCGAGGGTTTCCCAG